GATTCAACAGATGATGGAAGGAGGTTTTATGTGGAGTTAAAGACTAGCCGTGAGGTAATATGAATCCTCTTATATTTGTTTTTTATCTCCTTCTATGTGTTAATGTTTTGCTTTTCGTCCAGTAATTTTGCCTCAAATGTGGCATCATTCTATGCTTTCATACCTTGCAGTTGGAGTATCACACTGAGGAAAGATTCGAAAGGGAGAAGCTGCTAAAGTTCTGGGTATGTGTAGTTTCTACTAGTGACAATGAAGTTTTAATTAGTTTCCTCAGAAATACTTGTAAAGATTGTTTTCTTTATGAATATCCAGAAATTAGTTGGTCTATCCACTGCTGCCCTTCTTTCATTTTGACTTCTTATTTTTTTGTTTTCTAATTTATGGTACAAGTTAATGGTCATGCTTTACCTCTTCATCTACTATTTTGCTTAATAGAAGAACTAAATTATTATTCATAAGGAACCAAGAGGATGCTGCCTCCATTGTTTCTCTCCAGCTTCTTAACATTTTTCTTTTACATAGTTATAGCACAAATCTCAATCTCCTAGCATTATGAAGCTGCTACTGATTCAGTCTTTTTGCTCTTTGGCATCTTACATGCAGTATGCTTCTAATCCTTTTACTGGGGCTTACTGAATTATGTTGTTGCTGCAGGGCACTGCAAAAGAACACAATGGATCACCTGTTATTTTTTTTCTTTGAATGTTCACTTAGTCTTGGAAGTATAATTCTCATCGTATGTCTGTTACTGGTATAATACTATACATTGTAAACATGCAGGTTTCCCTCCAATTTTGGTCCAAAATTTTTATTAACTGAAACTGAGGCCAATAGTTCGTAGTGTCATTTGATCTTTTTTTTTTTTAAATAAAAAGTGTAAAGTATTATTCACAAGATACCAAAAAAAGGGTACCACCCATGTATAAAAACATCTACAATGAAGTTAATCTATCAATGACATCCCCAAGATCCTCATCATTAATGATGTCATGAGTGTCATTTGATCTTCTTCCTCTTTTGTTGAGAGAAATCTTCATTTTCTACTGTGATAGAGGAGTAACTTAACATATCTGGGTTTTTTGCAGATTCAGTCGTTCTTGGCTGGTGTCCCTTATATTGTTATTGGATTTAGGTAATTTCAATTTCCGATTCTTTTTTTTTCCCCCAGGAATGAAATTCATAGGATGATACATGTCTAGTTACAATATAAGAGATCTTCAAGATCTTATCGCAAAAAATGGAAGTGTGAGCTATCCACAATTGTGATTGTATCATCTCTCTCATCGGAATTAATGTAACATCATGTTAAGAATTGTTTTCCCTTGTATGGTTATTTTATGCAACTGATAATGTTGAGAAATTTTTTTCTTCCTGGATTGTCTGCATCATTTTCGAATGGCAGTTCAATGTACCTCCATTGTTCCCCCTCCCTACATCAAAAGACAGAATCTGTTATTTGACTCTGCAAGTTATTTTTCGTTTTATCTTGGCTGTACATTCCTTTGCTTTCTTGTATTTGATGCAGGGATGACGCTGGCCGGTTAGTCCGCACAGAGAGACTAAGAACTAAAGATATAACTCAGAGGGTGAAGATGAAGAACTATTGGCAGGTTAATCATTTGTTTTGTTTTGTTTTTTCCTTTCTTGCCCCAGACTCTATTAGTGGGTTGTCCTTTGGGGGTTGGGGTTTTGGGACCCTCGTCCTGGAAGTGGGCTAGGGCATTTTATTCACACTACATGGAGCAAGGAAGCTTTGGTAAGGAGCTCTTTACGCTGAGTTATGGGTGTTGTTGCAGGAGTGTAGCAATAGACTTGGCTGATTGTTTTTTGGGAACAGTCACTTTCACTATGTTGGAAAAGGACTGGATTGTGGTCCCTATTGATTCTTTAGTGGTAGTCCGTGCTTTTTCTTTTTCTTTTTTTTTTGCTAAACATTTTATATTTTGAGGATTTGTCGTTT